TTCTCGGGTGGCTTGGGTGATGGATTTGTTCCTTTTTGCTGGTTTTACCCACCCAATTTATCCATTTCTTTTTGGTCTTCCTTTCGCTTTCCTCCCAGATGGCCTGCTGTAAAAGAATCTTATGTGCTGTTTAAACTGGTTGCATTCTGTATTTAGAGTTTCAAACTCTCTGTTTTTCAACTGTTTCTAAAATTATGTTTCCATGCAAGAGCATCGATCGCATTGTTACCTGTTTTATCCCATATCGTCATTACCAATTTGAATTGCCCAAGTTTAACCGCTACCTAGGGAGCTATCCTTTCCTAGGTAGCAATAGTTATAATTGTGGCTCCTCTTAATACTGTTATATCATTGTGTGTTTGTTAGTGTTGGTGGTTCTAGCCTTCCATATATATCTGTCGAGCCATCCTTCCATTCATTTATGAATTACAAAAACAAAAAACAAAATCGATCGCGTTTAACCCACTAAGAGCAGTATCATCTCTAATTGTGGTCTGGTTTTTGTGGTTATGTTGGCTAAGAAATGTTAAATGCATCAAAACTAGTGGCTTGGACCGGTACTCTAGTATCTAGTGAGGGTTTTGGAGAGAGGGGGCTGGTCTGCAATATAGATATCCATACACATATATAGACATACATGTACCGTTATATACATGTGTGTGTGTGTGTGTGTGTGTGTGTGTGTGCATACCATACCTGCCTGCACGCCCACGTGGGAATGCACGTACACGTGTTTTCATACACCCGAATGCGTGTGTGTGTATACGCGCGCACGCCCCTGTATACATGTTCACATACACACACATTTTTGTGTATGTATACACACAAACACTGAAAGGAGCCGACCTGGTGTAGCAGCCAGACGCTCGCCTGTGGCTCAAAAGGCCAAGGTTTCTCATCTCGGCGGAGCCTGATTTATTTATTTATTTTAATTTCATTAAATGACCCAGGCTGCCAGGTCGACCCAACCTTAAATGGGTATTAGTGTTGTATGTGCTATGTTGTATATGATATACCCTATAGTTTTGTCTATTTCATGTTATTTGCACCTTTGTTACCTAGTTTGGGTCTTTAGTTTGTATATGTGACACGTTCTCAATATTCACTACTGTAAGGGCATAGTTAGGCAGATGGGTGTCAAAACCCGAATGGATTATACATAGTGTTGAAGATCGCAGATTGTGGGGAGGCATTATAGGTCATGCCAGCCGACCAGGCACTTGATGGTGATGAAAACGATCACGATAATGATGGTGAGGATGATGATGATAGTGATGATGATAATATTCAATTCAGCACTTGTTTAAGTCGACTTTTCGTCAAATGATCTTATGTCTGATTCTGTCTCTTCGGGTCACTCTCGGTCTGTCCATGGCCATTGAGTTAACCGAATGAGTCGATTCCTCCCCAACAAATATAAGGTTGGTACATTCCGTTTCTGGGGACAGCTTTTTTCGAGTTTGCTCTCTAGACAGTTGCAGTCCCCTGTTGACGAAATTCTCTCTTCCCGAGTGGACCCCGCGATCAAAACATTGCGAAGGCAGCGGGGTCGAGACTGCCCAAACTATCGGTCATTATCCTGCTCCGACAAACCATAACCACAATACACGCTGTTCCTACGAAAAATACATAGTATCCTGCGTTGGAAATGCGCACAAAGTAGCAGTTCGTGATTAGGAACAGAACAATTCAGAGAATTGACAACTTATCACATGCATCAGAAGGAGACAGTCATCATTTTTCGGCCATGTTATGAGAAGAGAGAAAATAGAACATGTTGTGACCACTGCAAAGATATGTGGAAGGAGGGATAGACGAAGACAACGAGAGAAGATTCTTGCCAGTCTTGTTGCTTGACATGGAGGTGTGTCTGCACACGAACTGATACATGCTGCAGGCGATCGCAGATTGTGGAGAGAGGCATGTTCGCCCACGCCAGTCGGCAAGGAACATGATGATGATAATGATGATGATGATGATGATGATGATGATGATGACAGCCAGATTAAAATAAAATCATTGCTGCTATCCGCCATTTTGAAAACGAAACCCCACTCTCGGTCTCATTCATATCTTAACCTTGTGTTACTCTGTCATGTTGCAGTGATGGCTGGGGTAATCGTATGGACGTTGTAACAAACCTGGAGGTGCAGGCAGCGGGAGCGATTTCCATCATGTTTCACTCACCACAACTGAAGGATTTCAGACAGCATTACGAGAATCTGAAGCCACACAACAACAGCAAAAACCCGTGGTTCAGCGAGTTTTGGGAAGAACGATTCCAGTGCTCGCTGGATGGAAATAACATGAATAAATACCATAAACGGTGTTGGGGTAAGAAACGTTTGACAATAAAGTTTATCATTTGCGTCATCGCATTATCATCTTCATCCTTAGCATCCCCACCATCCTCATAATTACCATTATCGCATAATCATCTTATCATCACTTCATCATTATCATCATAACTCTCATCATCATCAGCATCTTCAACATCATCCCCATCATTATCACTCTTATCATCCTCCCCACCATCATCATCCTCATCATCATCCCCACCATCATCATCATCATCATCATCCCCACCATCATCATCATCATCGCATCATTATCATCACTCTTATCCTCATCATCCTCAACATAATCTCCATCATTATCTCGTCATTATTATCATCATCATCCTCTACATAATCCCCATAATCATCTCATCATTATCATCGTCATCCCTGTCGTTTCCATCCCCAACACCATACCCATCCATATAATCTCATCATCATCATCATCACTCTCATAGGCATCCTCGCTATTATCACCCTTAACATTATCCCCATCGTCATCTCATAATTTTGATCAGCATCCTCAACAAATGCGACATACTACATCATGCATTGCTTCATATACACACACACACACACACACATATATATATATAATTACTCACACAAAACAAATACAGACATTTTTGCGACTCACGCATCGTGAGTTCATCTGAACAGAAAGCCTGGATGTCCTTTGTTCTGGTTGTCATCAAGTTGATTACTCCCCAGAACACTGTTGATGTACTTTGTTCTGGTTGTCATCAAGTTAATTAGTCCCCAGAACACTGTTGATGTCCTTTGATCTTGTCACGCCACTAAATAATGGTCTTATCATCACCATATTGATCAGTGCCAGAAGTGTATTGCCAATGCTTGATCATGCCTTTACCCTGCCCCAGGTCTCGTCACCGTCAGGTTAAGTAGATCTAAGGCCAGTATTGAGGCTGTGTCCGATCACCTCACGGCCTCAATGCAAGGCAGCGCACCCATAGTGTTTTCTTGTGTGTGTTGGCACGCATGCTTATTGTCATCATTTGTGTTGTCACCTTTTTAGATGATAGTTAGTTAGTTAGTTTAGTTAGTTAGTTAGTTAGTTAGTTAGTTAGTTAGTTAGTTAGTTAGTTAGTTAGTTAGTTAGTTAGTTAGTTAGTTAGTTAGTTAGTTAGTTAGTTAGTTAGTTAGTTAGTTAGTTAGTTAGTTAGTTAGTTAGTTAGTTAGTTAGTTAGTTAGTTAGTTGGTTAGTTAGTTAGTTAGTTAGTTAGTTAGTTAGTTAGTTTAGTTGGTTGGTTGCTTGGTTGGTTAGTTAGTTAGTTAGTTAGTTAGTTAGTTAGTTAGTTAGTTAGTTAGTTAGTTAGTTTGTTAGTTAGTTAGTTAGTTAGTTGGTTGGTTGGTTGGTTGGTTGGTTGGTTGGTTGGTTAGTTAGTTAGTTAGTTAGTTAGTTAGTTAGTTAGTTAGTTAGTTAGTTAGTTAGTTAGTTAGTTAGTTAGTTAGTTAGTTAGTTAGTTAGTTAGTTGGTTGGTTGTGTTGGTTGTTGGTGGTTGGTTGGTTGGTTGGTTGGTTGGTTGGTTGGTTGGTTGGTTGGTTGGTTGGTTGGTTGGTTTGGTTGGTTGGTTTAGTTAGTTAGTTAGTTTAGTTAGTTAGTTAGTTAGTTAGTTAGTTAGTTAGTTAGTTAGTTAGTTAGTTAGTTAGTTAGTTAGTTAGTTATTTAGTTAGTTAGTTTAGTTTAGTTTAGTTAGTTCAGTTCAGTTCAGTTCAGTTAGTTTAGTTTAGTTTAGTTTAGTTTAGTTTAGTTAGTTAGTTAGTTAGTTAGTTAGTTAGTTAGTTAGTTAGTTAGTTAGTTAGTTAGTTAGTTAGTTAGTTAGTTAGTTAGTTAGTTAGTTAGTTAGTTAGTTAGTTTAGTTAGTTTAGTTAGCTAGCTAGTTAGTTAGTTAGTTAGTTAGTTAGTTAGTTAGTTAGTTAGTTAGTTAGTTAGTTAGTTAGTTAGTTAGTTAGTTAGTTAGTTAGTTAGTTAGTTACTTAGTTGGTTAGTTAGTTAGTTAATCGACATGAGTATGTTCCTCAGTGTGTGGCGTCAGATAACATAAGTTCTGCATTGGTCTACAATTCTTCTTTGATTATCTGTATAGTGTTTATCTTTGGTGACACTTCTTTAACTTCAAGTTCTTGTATTATCTTGAGTGTTGTCGATTCAACATCATCTTCTAAATCATCTTTTATGACTTGCCTCCGCACCATTACTTTTCTTGTACCTACCCTAGCCCTGCCAACAAGCCAATCCGCTAGTTCATTTCCTCTTACCGCAAAGTGTTAAAAAAATAAAGGACCATTTCCCACGCCTTTAGGCGTATATGGCATATAGGGATAGACCTATATTTTGATAGACCAATCGGCACAAAATGGGTGATTTGGTGAGCATGACGCCTGCCGCCTCTATCTCCCGGAACTGTACCCGGTACCCACTCAAGGCTGGGTCGACCTGGGAGCCAAGGTCATTTTTGGAAAAAAAACAGTCCGGCTCCACCAGGGAGCGAACCCACGACCTTCCTATCCTCGGCGAGCGTCTAGCCGTTCGCCACGGGGACTCCCACCGCAAAGTGTGCTGGCCCAAAAATGAAACCAATTGATACCTCTGTTTCTAGACGATAGTGTTATATTTATACTTTCGGGGTCACGGGACTTGCAGCCCATGGCGATGGCGAGTGTGACTAGCAAGCGTTTAGAAAACTCTTCCACAATTAGAGTTTGGGATTTTAGGATTATTGTTGCCATAATGTGTATTTAGAGTGCTTCTTCACGGACGCTCGGCTCTCAACCTTTCTGCAATCATTTATTTCTTTTATTTCTGATCGACTGCTGATTTTCTGCTTCCGCACAACACGGACCGTGGCATTTTGTCCCCACAAATCAACCGCAGTACCTTAACCTCCTTACAAAATTATTAGGAGTATTGGGTACTAATTTCCCATCCTAAATTTGTTATGGAGCAAAGAGGCATTCAAGAGTGTCCCCTCACCCACTCAATTCTTTGCCTAGAAAATGTGTAAGGTACGGAGGAGGGCGTGGTTTGGGGTGTCCCGCGATGTTTTCTTACCTAATCGGGAGCAGGGAGGCCCTCAGCCTAGGTGGTGATCAGGGTGTGGTTGTGTGAGGAGGGTGTGGCTCAGTTCAGCTCTAATGTGTGTGTGTGGGGGGGGGGGGTGGGGGGGGGGGGGGCAGCCTTGTTTAAACTAAAAAAATTTTAAGACCTGAGCGGGTGGGGGGGGGGGGGGATTTGAGGGCTCCCGACGTTAACTTTGTGACGGCACGCCGGCCTGTGACCGCCGTATATTTCATAAACCATAAACGGCAAGAAAAAGATATAGATATAAATAGCAGTCTAGAATAGTTGTAGAATCAGAATTAGCACAAGCAGTCCTAATTGTTGTGTTACTTGTCCCATGAGACCTGCTTGAGAAAAACGACAGCATTTAACATTTACATATTTTCATTAATTATCTATTTATTTGAAAGCTGTAGGAATATTTTCTTCATTTGCCGGAAGCATGTGATTAAATATTTTTCCCTTGCTGTAAACGTCATCCGGAATAACTTTATTAAAGTATTCCCACAGATTTTCACAAATTTTTCATTCTTCAAAGCTGACTGCACTAGTCTGGTTTTTCTCCTTGGGTGCTCTTCTAGAAATTATATAATATTTGAAGTTTCTTTCGACAAAATCAACCATCAGTTGCTTCGAAATCAGCATGACCTATACTTACCCGCGTCAAGCTACAGGTTACACCTGTCCAGCATTTACGGGTATCCTATTATAACTCCTTTGTAGGTTGAAGCAGGTATTTCTGCCTTGATGGTCTGTCGTCCTGGGTAGCAGCTGTTTTGTATTCTCGTCTGGTAGCTCTCCCCCTAGGTTCATAGACCTCTCAACCATGTATTATAGCCCCATGTCTGCCACAGGAATCTGCAATGTCACCTGTGCTTTTTAACGTTTTTACGAGCAAGAGTGCGGACCTGGAAACACCTGGAGTTGGCAGAATATTGAGATTTGCAGATGATGTTCTCGTATATAGGCAGGGGAGAGAGAGGAATCAAAAAGCTTAAGAGGTAAAGGCGATAAGGTGATCGACTAGTGTACAGAGATGAGTGCTGTAATCAACCCAGAAAAGGCACCCGTCTTGTGGTGTTCTTTGGACAACAGAATTGTTAGAGCTGATGTTCCAAGCGTGAAAATAAATGGCAGGGACATCAAAAGAGACAGCAACTGCTTTACCTGGGTATCACCTTTGTCAGAAGCTTGTTTTTCAAGGATATCATTGAGGAGGTTGTCGCAAGGACTAAAAAGGTCCTGATGCACTAAAGATTATGGCAGCAATTGACACGGAGCAGAAAATGCTGTTCACATGTTACCAGTACTTGATCATCTCAGTGATTGATTATGGACTAGGGTTGCTCACTGTCTCGAAGTGACAGTTAGTAAAACTGGAGCACATACAGAATGAAGCTATGCAGGTGATCCTATGATTTACAAGAGGCACCCTATTTTGTCAGCATGCGACACATCCTTACATTGCCGACTATTGCAGATGGGCCAAAAGTGCTGCAGGCTAAGTCATACCTCAGAGTAGCGGCGGACAAAAAGTACCCTCTGTATGAAGCTTTGGATGCAGCTAAGGGTAAGAGGCTGAAAAGTGTAAATCATGGATGGCTCAAGGAAAGTACCAGAGGAAAAGTCTGACCTGTGCTCAAGTTATGATCACAGAGAGTGACCGACAAGGGCTAAGTAGGTGGAAGTCCAACAGTTGATTCTCGATAATTCTCGTCCAGATGATCTGATTATCTATATAGATTGAGCTGTGTTGAGATGGAAAGGAAATGCCTGGGGGTTTGTAGCGAAAGCCAATTGAAAATCGTTAGTGCAGAACAGCCTAGCATATGATACCACAACATTTAGCATAAGAATGGAGGTGAAGGGGGTGACTGCAGCTGTCAGGTGGCAAGAGAACAAGACGCATACACATGTAAATGTAATAGGCCCTGAAAGCTTGCTAAGAATAAGAATAAACTCACAGGGAGCAAGTACAGCGGGGATCTACCAGTCATCAGTAGAAATTATCCTCTGTCGACACACGTTTCGGCCCACGATTCCTAAACGTATTCGGAGGTGGGCCCACCTGAGTTCATGAAGCTCAGGGCTGGTTCCCCGCTGCACAGAATTACCGGATGGTGTTATTATTTCGGCCAGAGACAAGACGACTTAGTGGTTTCGAAGGAGGTACTGTGAGATAAGAAGCCGCCGCGACAGCGTAATTAAAACAGTCCGCATGCCTGGACGACCGAGCGACAAGCTTACTTTGGTTTACCGGACACATGTTGGACTTTATTATTAGCAGTTGGCAGAGGAACACTGGCAGACAACTTCGTACACGATATGGACTTTCAAAGGGATGAGAAACTCCTTTCCGCTAGAAAACCCACGGACCAGCTCACCGAGGCCCGTCCCCTACGTTGTGCCGCGCTGCTGTCCAAAGCCCAGCTCGAGGCCCTTTTCGGCTGCCTCACCCAGTTTTTTTGAGTGTTCGTTTCCGTTTCATTTACCGCGCAATCCTAATTCTTTCACCACATTGTAGAGCGAAGTGGAAACGAGGCCTCTCGCTCCCCACTTCGACGGCAAATACCCGCACTGTGTAAGTCTCGTTTCTCCTCAAACCAAGGCTGCTAAATCACTGTACGCTTTTCGAGCTTGTACAAGTGATCGTCCTTTCTCCTCCATACGCGACCTCAAACGGGACCGTCAACTCAATCAGGATGAGTTGCCGTTTTTGCGCAGAATGGAGAACGATGTCCGGTCGCAGGCCGGTTTTACGGATCAACTCGGGATACCGTTCATGTCCTGGCAGATCAACCGCCAGTAAACCAGTCCCTCGCAGAGTCTAGCGCAGATGGAGCGAATGCGTTTTTGTTGACCTTACCGATTGGAACCCTGCCCAGCCTTGAGGAAAAGACGAATGGGGGCGATACTAGAACTGGCTCTGGCATTAGCCCTCATTCTAGCCTGGTCGACAACGGCTGCTAACTCCTTTAGCACCTTGTTGTGGCGCCAGGTGTATCGGCCTTGACCTAGAGCTTTCCTGCACGCGGACAGGACGTGCTCAAGAGTTTGCTTCGATTTGCACAACGGGCAAGTCGGGTCGTTGGTCGCAGACCATTTAACCATGTTAACACCGGACGGTAATACATCGTACGCCGAACGAACGATAAGAAAGATTAAGTCAGGGATGCTTCGAGCAGAGTGGCAAGCTTCACTTGGAAGGTCACTGGTAGTGAGCATACTTGGACTTTTTTCTCTAGGTTGTGCAGGCGTGGTGGAGAATGAACAGACAGACAGATTGGCTGGATCTGCACTACTGGGCGGTGAATTCGTGTGGAATGACGCACCTGGGTGTGATCAGAGGATCTAGCCTGCTCACTGCGCTGCTCAGAGGAAAGGAAAGATGGACACATAACCAGACTACGACCAGTACCATTATTACTGGAACTCTGCGCTGGCTGCTGAAGATGAGGACTGAGCGCGTATATGAATTCCCGAGTGCTGTGATGTCAATTCTTGACTCAACTCAACTGGGTTGTCGACCAGACCAAGACTTTTTTTAAATCTAAGGATGGTATTAATCGCTCGTTGTGTGGTCCTCGTTGAGTTGCTGGTACCCCAATTTTCCTTTAGATTTCATCGTTTCTGATCATATCTCTTCTGGTTATATTCAAAGTCTTTAGCTTGAATCTCACTTCTGTGCCCAGGCCTGGCACTAATAACACAGGCTCGGCGAGAAGACTGGGTCACAGAGTGATCTTTTGGTTCCTTAGTATTTGAAATTCTTGATTTGTTTCAGATGGTGTTCTATAATCTGGATATAGCGGTAACGACTGTAGGTAACAAATGGTTAGGAAATACTGAGTTAACTTAATATATGCTTGAAAATATGATTGTCTCCGTTGCCAGGAAACGAGAGTCTAGTGGGATCTAAAGAGGATTCCAAGCTCGGATTTGTCGTTAACGCAGTGACCGCCATGGCTGTTGCCTTACAAGACATGCACCAGGACCTGTGTCCTGACAGCGAAGGACTGTGTCCAGCCATGGATCCAGTTGATCGGTCGTATTTACCTCAAATACTTACAGAACGTGAGCTTTAAAAGCCACAGCGGCGAGGAGATCCATTTCGATCAGGCTGGAGATCCTTCGGCAAAGTGAGTGCCCTTTTTTCTATTTTTTCTTAGAATATTCTTCACTGCTATTTCCATGTATTCTTGTTTTGCATTAACTTAATTAAGTGTCCGCCCCTGTCGATATCCTTTATATTCAGGGCTTATTTTTGTGCTGGTGGTTCGCAGCGGTATTCAGTACCGGCACCTTTTTTACTCATATGTTTTTAGCGCTGCTGTAATAGACACGTTGAGCTGAGTTACGGCATTTTATATACCGCACCGTTGTTTACAACAACAAAACCACGTGTCTGTGTGTGTGTGTGTGTATTTAATACCTGACACATCATCAAAAATCAGATAATCAGTTATATATATAACACATAGTCGATGTAATACTGTCGGCATATGTGGCCTAGATAGGGAGCTGGGATAGATCCATACTGCGATTGATTTGACAGCAGACCGCCTTGTATTCATTTCGACAGCGGTATCGAGAGCCAACTGTATGGGAAGCAATGGCAAACTACTGAAATACAATTGCCTAAGGAAATCACAAACAACTCACTAATGCTGTGGTTGGTCCTGCAGCTTCCTGTAAATGATGCGCAACCAGCTATGCAATATTAAAGAGCTAAAAATATCAGGCAAACGAAAATATCAAAAACGAAAATAAAGGATCAAACCTATATATTTCAATTTATAACAGAGAAAGGGTTGAACTAGATATCGTTGATTAAATTACTACTAGTACATTTTCATTATTTTGTATACGGAATGCAGCTAACGTAGGATTTATGCTAGGGATGTGAGCAAATCTAGACTGCACCGGTTGCTCGCTGGCTGGGATGCCTGCATATCACATCTAAAGGAGTGGATTCTAATCCTCGGTATAGACATTTTTTTTTTATAAAAGCTATACTCGATGGGGAAGTTGAAAAAAAAGGCAGGGGAAACTTGAGACGTCAAAAAACTCAAGAAACAGAACGGGAAATCCCGAGGAAAAAAGACTCATAATCCAAGAAGTTCATTCAGCTCAGACGACCAAGCGCACTGCAGAAGAAGCTCGAGTAGAGCCCTAACGCGGACTAGTCCCTATCAGGACTCCCAGGCAGCCTCCTCCTTAGAGCAGCGGAGACCTCACCGGCCCTGACCCCGACAGACATTGCAGGCAATAAATAAGACATAACAATTCTGGAGGGGGAAAAGAGAAGAGATGAAAAGTAGGGAAAAAAGAAAGGAAAATGTATTCAAAAAAACAAATTCTACGGTAACAGTATGGATCAGTGGCTGTCAGCCTTCTTAATGCTGCAACCCTTTAATATAGTTCCGTCATGTTGTGTTCTCCAGTTGACCAAGAGGTGAGGAAAAGACGCTGGCGTTGGATAGGACACACATTGAGGAAACTTGAGAACAGCATTACTAGAATGTCTTTGCATTGGAACCCACAGGGGCATAGTAATAAAGGAAGGCCAAAAAACACATGGGCAAGAGAGCCGGAGAATGAAGTTAGAAAGATAGGTAGGACATAGGGAAAGCTGCATGCGATAGCGAAGTATAGAACAACTTGGCATGAGTTGGTTAAGGGCTTATGCTCAATTGGGGGCTAGAAAGGCAGAAAAGAAGACTCACTGGTCGAGAACTGCTGGTATAGATACCTTGGGGTGGCTCAGCATTGGTGGAGTGATTATGAATGGGAATGCTTCATGTGAAGTGGTTTTGACTATGTTGATAATTTAACATAACTTGTTACGAATTTCTTTTTAGATGTACAGGATTAACAATCCAAAGTCACTCTTTTGCAAATTTAATTAAACCTTTTGCAAATTAATTTAAACCTTTTGCAAATTAAATTAAACCTTTTGCAACCTAAATTAAACCTTTTGCAAATTAAATTAAACCTTTTGTAAATTAAATTAGGCCTTTTGCAAGTTATTTAAAAAAAAAATTTTTTATTTTAATCAGACATACCATAGTTCCACACAGAAAGAAAAAACAACTCACTTGTCTAAATCTGAGGTCAACAAGGAATAGGTTGAACAAGACCCAATTTTTCCGTATTGTTTCTAGATTCAAATGAAGTGAAGAAATTTGAAGGGGAAAAAAGCGGATAAGACGTAGGCAGCAATACGAATGGGGATTTTCTCGTTACACCTCTGACTGATAATTACTTCTTCGACTTTTCTAACAGTGGCGGACATTTAATCAGGTTGCAGCCAATACTATAAGCATGTCAGTTCTTCGTTGGTTACCGCAGAAGGGGACGGAGCACGCGTGGGAATGTTCTGAGTGCAGTGGTAGTGTCAGTTATTGAATAATTGAATAATTATTTAATTAATTAATTCTTAATTTTATTAGTGTATACCTGTCATTAACTATGAATTTATTTCTAAATTTGTTTTCACACTTTTACTGTATCAGAGCCATCCCATCCATAAATTCTCATTAATTTATACCCATAGTGAAATGAGACAGTGATTAGACTAGATAGGGGATCAATCCTAGCGGATCGAAGGATCAATCACCCTGGAGCCGGCTATGATCTAACTGCCTGTTATCCAGTCGTGTCTCACAATGTTCGTAACTAACCGTCGATCGCGTCAGCTGTAATATTTCCGTGTATTGTCTCTTTACTAAATAGCCTTACGCTAGGCTCATCACTCTTGCTCCTAATCTTTTTTTTCTCCTCCCCCCATCTTCGTCTCAGCCATCTTCTTCTTGTTCTGCTTCCACTTCTTCCTTTTTTTTCTTTCTTTCTTTCTTGTTTTCTCTCTTTATTTTTTCTTTCACTCTTATATGGGTGACTGGCACGCGGAATTACTGGTAAACTGCGATACTGTGTCTTGAGTGCAGTTTATTCAAGAAAACCGACATCGCAGCACTCGAGGCATTCCCATAACCGCTCTGCCCACCATCTTCAGCAGCCGGCGAAAAGTTCTAAAACCAGAGGTGCCAGTAACATTTTGATTGTACGTCTGCCTGGCCTTTTATATAAATGTTGAGTGTTGGGCGGATCCCCTTGTCACTCCCCGCTGTATCACTCTCACCAGACTGTGTTAATGATCCATTTGCTCCTCCGAATTGTACACGTTCTCCCACAAGGCCCTAACTATGTCTGCCTGATCAGGCATCAGTTTTCCACCAAGTTGTGCAGAGCCAGCCAGTCTGTCCAACTGTTCAAATCTCAACACGCCAGCGGGCCCCAGAGAAAAGGTCCAAACAATGCTCCTTACTGCGCTTTTTTGCTCTATAAAACCGACTTCGGTAGACTATTAATTAGCAGCCCTTTACGCTATGCTTGTCAAGTGTGACTTTTTCCTCCCCTCCCCCTCTCAATCACATAAATCACACGGACTGTTTTGTGACAGAGACAAATTCAGGCTGTTTTGAAATTGTGATATATAGACAGGATATGAATCGGAAACGCGCCGGACAAACTTTCCATAGAAGACCTTTTAATACCAAGGCTTAATGAAATTTTTGAACCGAGAGTTTGACATTTAAGAGACTGATTGGCCCACAAGTGACAGACCTGGTCTCTCCGGGCTGAAGCTTTTATCCATTTAAAAAATATTTTTAATCTACACGGCCAACTTTGAAATATTTTCGTGCGTCGATTTTTATGCCGCTTACTCTTTGTTTTGCAACAAGATTTTTTTAAAGTTTGTAAAAACGTAGGCAGGTGTATTAAAAAAAACGGTCCCATGCTGTGAAACATCCATAAATCGTTAATCTTCTAATACAGTCCCTCCCAACTTAGTGGTCCAACAAATTCAAGGGGTCCGTGACGTTATTTACAAAACAAATAACAAATGCACTCCATCTTTTTTGTTGCGATTTTAATATAGATTTATTTAACAGTTTCTTGACTTTGAAGAACATGTTTCGCCTTATGGCCTCAAAATATTACTGTTTCACATGTGTTTAGAAGGATATTTTTCACCTTTATTATATCTAAATTTCAACAATCCATAAATTTTAAAAAGAAATACATATATATTTCATTTATCTGGCAACGTATTCTGATTTTTGCACTTCATAAGCCTAAGGGTCTGCTCACCTCATCTCCTGTCCTAGCATTACGCGTGCCAAATAGGATTCTTTGTGGTGAAAGAAATAAAAAAAAGTACGGATTTCTCCGCATTTCGCCGACAATTTTCTACATTGACTTTCTGTCGTGTTTTTTGGCAGAGATCTTCTCTTCCCTACCTTTCTTCAGATGTGTTCCTGTGGTTGCTTAGATTTTGCAGCATATGGCTGCAGTTTTAACGCCAATTTTTCGTAATCGCCTCTTCCGACATGTGTGATTGGTTAGAATTAAAGTACTCCTTTGCTTCCCTCAAAGCTCTAGACAACACATGGGCACCTTTGAACTTCAAACACGTTACAAATTCTTTTACAGTTCGAGATCAAAATTAAAGACAGAATATGTAACTGTTCATGGACTAATTCTAAGTTCGAAAACTTATCAACATCAATATTTAAATCATGTTTTACTGGTATATTACATTTTTTTTTCTACAGTGGTCCCCTTGTAAAATGCAATTTTTCGTTATTTTGAAGCCCCACCCTGGCTTTTGCAAGGGGCCTTAAATAAAGCTAGGCCATAAATATGGCCTAACGGCTGATCGGTGTTTCCGGGACCTCATCCACATGGTGGCACTTTGTGTCATCGGGTGTTTATCGCTTTGTGTGATGTCCTGTTGGGGTACAAACGTACATACATACATACATAAACACATTTAGCTCCTTATTACGCGTTTCGCGCAATTTGCTGAAGGTACTTTTTGTGTGATCTATATAAAATGAGAATAATGCGCTTATAAATGTACTTGAGAGCAATAAAGATCCATAAATAAGACTCGCCTGAGAATCGAAAGGTCGTGGTTTCGATTCTGAACGGGACCGGATTTTTCATTTCTGTTGAAAAATGACCTTGGCTCCCAGGTAGATTCGGGTTTAAATGGGTAATAGAAAATTTCATGGGAAGTAAAGGCAGCCGGTGTGATGTTGACCACATAACCCATCGAGTGCCTATTTGTCTATAAAATACAGGTCTAGCCCTACATGCCCTATACACCTGAAGACATGTAAAAAGTGTCATGTACAAATCACACACACACACACACACACACACACACACACAGAATCCCAAGTCCAAAAACTAAACTCTCCTTAATCTAAAAATATTGAAATGAATTAAGTCACCTGCTTTATTGTGAAAATTAAATGGTATCATCATCATCATCAAGTCATCAAGTCCATTGCCGACTGGCTTGAGCGATCATGCCTCTCCACAATCTGAGATCTGCAACTGCTTGTATCAGTTTGCGTGTTGACACCCCTCCATGCCATGACAAAAGGTTGTGAAGAATCATCTCGCACTGTCTTCCTTCTTGTCTCTTTCCACGGCTCTTTCCAGTGTTTATAACATGTTCTAGTACATAGTTTTTAAAAAAAAAAAGTTAAACGTTAAAAAGGAGTATTATAAAAAGGCAAATAGGGCTAAACCTATATTTTATAGACCAATCGGCACTTGGTGGTTGATGTGGTTAATACCACGCCGGCCCCCTTTACTTCGCAGGACTATACCTGCTATCTATTTCAGGCTGGATAGACTTGGGAGCCAAGGTAATTTTTACTAATAATGTCCAGAATTGTTCGGATTGAAACCCATAATCTGTAGATAGGCATCTGTGATGGTCTTCTTCTTCTTCAGCATTCAGAGAGCTTAGAGTTCATATCATCCGCTTCCATTCATCTCTCTGGTTGGCCTTTTCTTTCCAGTAGGTAACATCAAGTATTTGCAGGTCTGTCTGAACATTATGTCTCCATGTTCTTCTTGGTCTACCTGGTGGTCTACGACCATTCATCTCCCTTGTGTATAGTGTTTTTACTTCTCTATCATCTGACATTTTTTCAATATGCCCCAACCATCCCAGTCTATTAGCTCATATGATGCCAGTGATCAATAATGATTTAAACAGAGTAGGAATTTCGTTATTGCTTCTCACTCTCCATTCCCCGCTGTTTGCATCTTTGATGGGTCCAAAGATTTGTCGAAAGACTCTGTTTTAGAAAACCTGTAATAAAGCTTCATGTCTTTTAGTTGTGCTCCAGGGTTTCAGAGCCATATAAAACGACTGGTCTTTTCAACGTTTTATATGTTTTGATCTTGGCGTTGCGATACAGACACTGTGACTTTAGCAGATGTTGAAGGGATTAGCATACTTTATTTCCAGATTGTATTCTAGATAGTATCTATTAATATAAATATTACATTTTCTATTACCCATGTTGGACCAGTTGAGGTTTGCACCTAAGTACTTATATGTTTCTGGTCGTTTGATTTTTTATTATCGACTTGTATGTGGCCGGAGTTTATATCCTTTCCATGTCTAGTTATTATCGTGTATTCTGTCTTATCTTGATTGATAACTAGTCCCATTTTCTGAGCTGATTCTTTTAAGAGTCAGTGTTTTAACAGTCTCTAGTTTATTTTCTCCAACGATTCTTTCTTTACCTCAGCAGGACATCACACAAGCGATAAACATCAGATGACACAAAGTGCCACAATGTGGATAAGGATAACCCGTGGAGAGGTCCCAGAAACTGTGTTTAGCCATTAGTCCATATTTATGGTCGGGCTATATTGCGGCCCCTAGCAAGAGCCAGAGTAGGGCTTCAAATAACGAAAAATGGCATCCCAATAAGGGATGACAAGATATGAACAATGCAATAATTTAAAAAGGGTCTGACTTTTTACCTTTATATACTACCATATTGCTAGTGGTGATGGTCTTCGTAAATTATGGTTTGAAATTCTTCCGCAGGTACAACATTCTCAACTACCAACCGAAAGTCAAAGCTGATGGCAATACCACCTACGATTACGTTACTATAGGCACCTGGGAAACGGGAGTTCTAAAGCTGGATATAAACAACATCTACTGGCCTCAAGGGGGTCCAGCCAGCAAAGGGGAATTGAAAGGGATTGTGAAGTCTGTTTGTGCGGAACCGTGCAACTGGGATCAAGTACAGGTATGGTTTTGTTTGTGGATAGCAAACGATAAATAGATAGCTGTACAGGCAGACAAATAGACTGGTAGTTAACTCTTCTGTTCGAAACAATGTTCTATGCGTGAATGGGTATTATTTATGTATGTGTACTAGTCGATATGTTGTGTACGTTTTTACATCTTCTGTTTAAGGGAAAATGGTCCAGATGTATGGTGTCCGTCTTGAGTCCCGGGTTCAGGCCCCGGTGAAGGCTGGGATTTTTTTTTTTATTGCACGTGGACTTTAGTAATTTCCCCTGGTCTTTGGGTAGTGTGATCGGACGCCCGTGTGTATTGTTGCGCACGTTTAAAAAAATATCTTGGCGGTTGGAAATCGAAAAGAGTAGCCTAACGGCTCTGCCCGGGCCAAATTTGAAGTTTAAAATTTACCCAAAGTATTTCAGGATTCTCGCCGGTGCTAATAAACTCGTGCACTGAACTGAAGTATTTCGGACTCAGACTTGAGTTAGAAGTTGTTGTTATCGATCCAGCGGCGCATGAGCTTTCGCCCTTTGGCCCAATGTCATGTAGTGGAATTTGCATGTTTTCACAAGCTGTTCTTTTCCTCTGTATAAGGTGTTCCACTTGTCTGGTCTCGGAGGGAGTAGCGTTCTTCTTGTCTCACTGAGTTTTCGGCACTCAAAGAGATGGTGTTCAACAGTTTCGTAGGGGTAGTTACATAGCTGGCACTCTGGATCTAGTTAGAAGTAGAATGGGGCACTTATGGGTTAATACCCGTGTGCCATGATGTTTAATCTTTGTTCAAACCTCAAACATCTTCTGTTTAGTGCTGGAGTTTGACAACATAGTTGTTTCCGGCAAGGGTTCTATATGTGGTCTTTGTGCAGTTAGAATTTCGTTTCTAAGTGGCTGAGACATTAGCTAGAACCTTGTGGGACTGAAAACAGTTCAGGTTAAGGAGCTGAGTAGGCAAGTAGATAATTAGATATGTAAGTTAGTGGGTGCGTAGGTAAATTGATGGACGAATGTGTGGGCGGGTTTTAGATGTATAGGGTGGGTGAGTGGGTGGATGGATGGATAGATGGGTGGGTGAGTGGGTGGTAGTTGGATGGGTGGGTGGATGGACGGGTGGGTGAGTGGGTGATAAATGGAGGGATGGATGGGGGAGTGGGTGGGAGGATGGATGGACGGATGGGTGGATCGACGGATAGGTGGATAGGTGTAAATTGACTGAAAGACAGTCAGAGATAAATAGATATTTGAACAAATACAAATAAATGGATGGATAAATTAATAAATGTATATTGACAGATGGCATAATATACTCTGAGATAAATAGATAAACGGACACATAGATTGATAGGTAGTTGGTGTGGTGGATAAATAAATGTACTTAAATAAATGGAAGGATAGACGAATACAGTAACAGACAGATTCGACTATTTTAGATTCGATTAAATAAGAGCAGATCAGACAGGCAGGGAATTTGATATTATAATAGTAAAGAATTGGAAACTCATCTCTCATTTGTCTTTATACGGACAGCTTTGTTTTTTCTGGACGGCTTTATGTTCTTCATCCTGTTGGAGTAGTGGTTTTCAAACTTCATAATGCCGCAATCCTTTAATACAGTTCCTAATGCTGTCTTCTTCTCTTCTTCTTCACTTCCTCTTTTACCGCTGTGGGTGTCGAGGGAGATATAAGGTTCTGTTTCTAGCTCTTCTGGCTGCCTCGACCATAGGCACATCGTGCTGATGTAAAGTTTCTCTGATGTTATCCTTCCATCTTGTTCTTGGTCTACCTCTTGCTCTACGTCCTTCTTCTCTTTCCATGTATGCTTTGTATTCTATGGTGTCACAAGGCATTCTCTCTAAGTAGGCAAACTATTTCACTTGCTGTCTTCGTATGTAATCCAAAATGAGTTCTGTGCCGACTTTTTCTAACATGATCTCATTCCTGATCTTATCTCTTATGGTCACTCTTACAGCCATTCTCAGACATCTCATTTCCGTGGTTACTAATTTTCTTTTATGGTTTGTTGTGAGTGACCATGTTTGGCACTGGTAGCACAGAGTTGGAATAAATATGCTTTGAATTAGATGTCTCTTTGTGCTGATTGGGATTGTCTTATGCTGTAAGAGGGGAGCTAGCTGTCCCAATACTTGGTTTGCTTTACTGAATCTGATGTTAATTTCTTTATCCAATTTCCCATCTTCGGTAAATGTAGTTCCCAGATATTTAAACTCAGATGCCTGTTTAATGCCTTTGCACTCTATTGCTATGTTTAGATCTGTCTTCTTTTTTTTTTTTTTTTGACATTACTTTTGTTTTTTCAGTGTTGATTCTCATACTATTTGTTTTACATTCTTCATTCATGGATGTTAGATGTTGTTGCAATTTCATGGCTGTATCTTCTATCAAGGCCTGGTCATCTGCAAAGTGTAATTCGTTGATCTTACTAACATTTTCATTCATGGGCTTGGCATTATACAGTTATTTTCGACGCTACATAACTTCAATGAAAATTTGTTTTGCGATGGTCTTTGGTGACTCATGTAAAAGTGTCGTTCGACCGGGGGGGGGGGAGAAAAGGGTCGCGACCTATATGTTGAGAACCGCTGTGTTAGAGCCACTCTGAAAACTTTGGATATAATATGAGGTTAGTCAGTCCAAAGACTGGCAACGTTATCATCTGACCATGGCAATCTAAATATATTGTAAGTAATTGGCGCCCATTCTACCACTTCTTTTTGTTGTGCAGAATGTGAGACAGACTTGCGTGCCCAGTCATAACCCTTTGAAAATAAAATTCGTTCGTTCATTCGTTCGTTCGCGGCGTTCGTGGCTTAGGCGTTGGGAGTTCGACGACTCGTAATTCCAACGTACCGCGATCGAATCACACTGCTGGCTGCGTGGATTTTTATCCTAGTATGGTGCGTCGCAGGTCGACCCAGCCTAAAATGGGTATCAGGATGGCTGTTCTGGGAAAGTAAAGACGGCCGGCGTAATGCTGACCACTTTAGCACCTAGTGCCAATGGTCTGTGAAAATATGGGCGTTCTTCAAATATACCTGATACGCCTGAAGGCGTGAAAAGGGATCTTTACTTTACTTATTCGTTCGTTCTTATCTTCCTGTAATGATATAGTTGAAATGTTTTCGGGGAGATAATAAGAATCGCCTGTGTGCCTTTTCTGATGCATTGCACAAATGATGTCGTTTCCATCTGTTGCATGTTCTTCTACTCGCGCTGTGTTTGTTTCCTCAGAGTGGCTCTCTCTCTGGCAGTTAGTACCACGACATTCTGATCAGATGGACATACCATCTCATCTCTTTAATAAATGGGTAAAGTTGAGAGAATCGACTTTATTGCACCGGGTTTAATTCCATATAGCTCAGTCTCTCTCCGCAGAACGACAAGCCGCTTGCCGAGAGCGTCGCACAGAGCACGACTCCGTAGCTGCGGCTATGGTTCCTCAGGCTTCTCCATGAAAACTGCACTTGTAAACTGAAGGGCACCGCCGTGAAAGGAACCCACTACCTTCACAAGGCGAGGCAAACGGCTTGACCACTTCGCCACAGACACCCCCTAATAAAGTTAGCAGTTTCGGTCCTATTCTTCTTCTTATTTATTCGTTGTTTTCATATTATTTCTTCTTATTAAACAGCTTTGTTGTTTTGACTTCGCTTTCAGTAGTTTTAGATAAAGTCATGTTCTCTTCTTCTTCTTTTCTTCTTCTTCTTCTTCTTGTTGTTTTCTTTTTCTTTATCATCGTCATTCTTCTTCTTCTATTTCTTCTTCTTTTTCTTCTTCTGCCTCTTCTTGTAGAACTTGATTTTTGCGTGCATATCCGTTTTTTGCAAACCTGACTTATTTGTACGCAGCCTGTTGGTTCCTTATCTCTAGACAAATGTGCTCTGACTTTGCAGGGAAACTCCTAATTAGTCGACTTTTACGACACGCTTGTCTGACTATTCTTGTCGCCCTCTCTTCCACAGTATGGTTCCTGAGCCCACGGGAATAGGGGACATTGATTCTTTTGATTTTGTCTCCAAAATAGAACCTAAAACCTACAAATGGAGAGCATTTCTATACCCCTGTTTCACGACAACTGAATTGAAGTGATGAAATTACAGAGCTTGCAGACATTTTTGTTAACTGCTGTCATAAATCAGCTTCGCAATCATTATACTCGGCCTATTATTTTTGTTTAGTCAGGCTAAACATAGATGGTTGCCTGGGCAAACCTGACATTTGTGTAAACAATAAATACCGTTTAGTTGAGATGAACTAGTGTTTGCTGTCGTTGGAGTCACAATGAAATGACAAACTCTTCCGTTTTACGCCTAATGTATTGTGAAGTCTGGCGGTAGTACGTTAACGCCATTGTGTTTTATGTGATTGGTTGAACGTTTCCAACCACTCAGTTTGTCTTATTACGTTTTCTTAAACAGGAACATTGTTTGGTTTTTAAATTATTATTTTAATTCTGTTTCTTCTTCTTCTTCTGCTGCTGCTGGGGCAACTGCTACTAACTAATATTACTTCTACTACTAATAAAAATAATTGTTAATAATTTAATTTAAAAATTTGGGGGCGAGGGGGGGGGGCGGGGAGCTACCAAAACAAAGAAAACATTGGAGGTGGAGGAAATGGGGTGAGGGCGGTGCTAAAATTTCCCAGAGCTGGGGGCGGAGAGTGGAAATTAATGCACTTGGGCATTGTTTACTTGTGCATAACAACAACAACAATGTCCTTCACTTCTTTCTTATTTACTTTTTACCGCTTCGAGTATCATGGGGGACATAAGGTTCTGCTTCTTGTCGTTTTGGCCGCGTCGATCATAGACACATCATGCGATTGTAGACTTTCTCTGATTTGATCTTTCTATCTTGTTGTTGATCTACTTTGTGCTTTACATCCTCTCTTCTTTTGGTTATACCTTCTATGGTACGGCTGCCTATCTATAAAATTAGAATTTAACATGTGCCGACTTGTTCTCTTATGACCTTTTTCCTGACT